CCCCCCCCCCCAGGGCTCGGCTGCCGGAGCAGCTCTCGGGGGAGCCGCCTGCTTGGCTTCGAGGGGCTCTCTACACAGGCCTGAGGGGGTGAACCTGGCCGCAGTCTCAGCAGGGCTACACTGTGCCGGGGAGGAGGGGGGGAGGCCGCGCTCTGTCCTACGTCTCCGGCTTTGGCAGCCCTAGCAGGGCCTCTGCCCAGAGAAGGCGCCTGTCACCCTCTGACATGTGCGTGCTGGGCTCTCGCTCGCCTCGGGCCTTTCAGAGCCAGACACGAGAAGTCATTCTCCCGCTCTGCTCGGCGCTGGTTAGGCCTCAGTTGGAGTGTTGTGTCCAGTTCTGGGCACCGCATTTCAAGATGTGGAGAAATTGGAGAAGGTCCAGAGAAGAGCAACGAGAATGATTAAAGGTTTAGAGAACATGAGCTATGAGAGAAGGCTGAAGGAACTGGGTTTGTTTAGTTTAGAAAAGAGAAGACTGAGAGGGGATATGAGAGCCGTTTTCAGGTATCTAAAAGGGTGTCACAGGGAGGAGGGAGAAAGCTTGTTCATCTTGGCCTCTGAGGACAAGACAAGCGCAAGGGGCTTAAACTGCAGCAAGGGAGGTTTAGGTTGGACATTAGGAAAAGTTCCTACCAGTCAGGGTGGTTAAACACTGGAATAAATTGCCCAGGGAGGTTGTGGAATCCCCATCTCTGGAGATATTGAAGAGCAGGTTGGATAAATGTCTAGCAGGGATGGTCTAGACCAGGGGTCTCCAAACTTTTCAGCCCGAGGGCCGCATTAACTATCAAACAGCAGTTCGGGGGCCGACTACACACTTGAGGTCCAAATAAAAAACAATCAAAACATGGATGTTGTTTTTAATTATTTATTTAATATTATTTTATTCAGTTATTATTTAATAACACATTGATACACTACACATGAACACCTGTATTAGTGTGAATGGTGAAATTGTTTCCTGGATGCCAAAATAGCAGACATTTCTGGCTTTAGATTTGTTGTCCCTAACATCAACAGTGACCTGAGATTATCATCGGACAAGTTTGTTCTCAAATTGTTCTTCACGTATTTCATTCTTGAAAATGTTTGTTCACACAGGTATGTTGTTCCAAAGATTGAAAGGTACCTTGATGCAAAAGTTTTGACATTAGGAAAGTCTTCCTTGGGCAAAAACTGGTAAAAACCCACCAGTCCTATTTTGAACTTGTCCCTAAGGAGGTCATTTGCTTGCAACTCAATGACTTCCAGCTGCAGTTCATCTGGGCAACTGGCCACATCTGCTTCAAATGGGTTTTGAAACAATCTCACTTCTTCTGCCTTTGAATCCAAAAAGGTCTCCACGGGCCGGATGAGAGGCCCTCGCGGGCCGCATCCGGCCCCCGGGCCGCAGTTTGGAGACCCCTGTCTTAGGGTATAGATTATTGTTCAAACATAAAGACTAAAATGAAACAATTGAATTGAAAATGTGGACTGCTGCCCCACACGCTTTTCCTTTGCCTCCCTTCATTTCCAACATGTCTTCTCAAAACCCTCTGAGAGGGTCTTTCTGTGATTTTCAAGTTCCCCTAATCTTTCCTGTCACCTCTTCTTCCTCTGAACTAGTAAACAGGCAGTGAAGCTCCTTCTCCTGCCCCGGCGCGGCGTGAGTACACGCCGCACACCCCTGACAGGGCCCCCCCACCGCGGCAAGAAGGGCCCGTTCGGCGGCGCCCCAGGGACGGTCTCCACGGGCCGGATGAGAGGGCCTCGCGGGCCGTAGTTTGGAGACCCCTGGTCTAGACAGTGCTGGGTCCTGCCGTGAGGGCAGGGGGCTGGACTCGATGACTCTCGAGGTCCCTCCCAGTTCTAGTGTCCTAATATTCTATGATTCAGGGTGAGGGAGCGGGGCAGAGCACTGGCCTTCCCCTTGGAGCCTCCCGCGCTGCCTTTGGCTTATGGCCGCTGTCTGAATGGACAAGCTCTAAGTCAGGTAATGATGCCAAGTTCACTCCCGTCTGCCCCCCAAGGCAAGTCCCACGCACGGCCCCTGCCCTTTGTGCCAGAGACCCGGTGGGGGGGGGGGATCTCTCCCACCAGGGTGGGGCCCCTGTCTGACCCAGCAATGGGCGACCTTCTGGGACTTGCCTGGTGCTGGCTGTCCTCTGCCTCCTGACCTTCCCAGATACTGACCCGTCATGGGCCCCGTTTGTGCCTGCCCTGGAGCACCCCTCCCAGGGACAAGGCCCCTCCAGGCAGCCTG